ACCAGTAATCCATTGAACCCCTCGTGACAGGAATTTCTGGCTCAACGATTTTGATGTGACCAACTGTGTCCCTTCCATAGACTGTGGAGCATAAGTCTACTGGGTTGGCTTGAGACACCAGTGGAATGCATTCGGGTTAGCGCAATAGAAGACTCCGACTAGTGTTATATGTCTAGAGATCTCATTTACCTTTGGTACAAATTAATCTAAAATTTATGATAAAAGATTTTATATTGATGATAAATTATGTAACAATGTTGAGAAATCATTTAGAAATTTGTTTTGGATTTTTGAAGAATTTTTCAGATTTTTTTAAACAATAAAAATATGATTTTCAAATTTATTTGACATAAATACCAATCAAAGACATTCTATGGGGATGCCACATGAATCCCAAGTGGCCATAGAGATGCCACGTGGCACCCCCATCTCCCCACTCATGGATGACATCATGCTAATGTCATATCCATGTGGGGACCTATTTGTCATTAATTATTTTGTTGGTATTATGTTATAACATGTTATCCTGTTTTTTAAAGTGTTATATATTGTTATGACTTAAGTTTGATTTAGGTCACATGTTTTTTTTGCTCATATGTATCATTTTTGGCATGTATAAAATCATGAGATTATGAGAATTAATTTAATTCATATTATCATCCATATATGATTTTATAGCATATGGGTATATCTTATGTGGCACCACCTTATGGGCTTTATCCATGTGAAAGTTTAGTGTTGTTAAAATCCTATTGATGGTGTCATAAGATATTTTATTCACATGTGTGGATATCTCATATTACCTTTATGTCTATGTCCTTATATTTTATTGACTCTTACAAATTATTCAAAAATTATGGGCATAAGTGTAAACATGAATTTAGGCTTAATGGGAAATAAAACATGGAGCTAAGAGCTTCAAGGTAAAATGACTATAAACCTAGGTTTTAACGAGTGAAGGGAGTCAAAAGCTCATCCATTGTTCTTAGTGATAAGATATGGATGAGTGGCTTGAATAAAAGCTTCTCATGTGCCAATGATCTAAAATATCAAGGATCAAGATCAAATCTGTTTTTATGATCAAAGTATAAAAATAACTTATGAGATTAATTATAACTCCAACTTGAGTATTCACTTTAAAGAGAGAGAGCCCCCGTGACAAAAATGTGGCCACCCATGAGACTATCTTCTTCCTTGAGCTTTCATTTTGAAACCCTTCCATAGAGTAGTCCATCATTTATGTGATCAAACCCATACTATTGCTTAATTAAGGTATTGATTTTTCTTCGTATATTTTTAATTCTTACCTCATTTCCATTATCACAGATTGCTGTCACCCTTTATTTACAGTAGCTTCTTTATTTTTTGGTCATGAAAACTTGATATTTGAAGAATCCCAAAGCAATAGTATAGTCCATACACATAATATGTGTAGACTAGCTTGCTTACTCCATGATCTTGAGTCGTTTCAATTTGATTTTCTTGATCTTATTTTTTTTTACTAAGAATATACAACTGATGAGAGGTTTATTTCATCATATTTGAGCATAAGAAATAGTCCATTGTGTTGTTAAAAAGTTCGTGCGGTCTTTTATAGACCACATGATATAGTTTCACCATAACTTCCTTATTTTGTGTAGTATCTCTCTAACTTTGAAGGGCTATTTTGATACATGTATCTCTCATTATTTGATCATCATTAAGTGAAATAAAAGTGATAATTTGCTTCCCATTGGATTGATCTCCTTGAGTTATTATTATTACCTGTGTCTTAGACAATGAGACAAAATTAAATCCTCAAAAGGCCTTTTCATGGCTCGGGCACAAGGGGTTCGAACCATGGTTTTCCTATGCATGTTTACATATTAATTTGATATATTTACAATTATTAAATTGATTTATGATTGGTTAAATTAAATATGTTGTGTGTATATTGAGATTGTTCTTTAACCTTGCGATATAAACTTTAATGCTATGCATTATTGTTTATGCGAATTGAAATCTTATCGAATTATTATGATCTAGTGTATGATGTGTATGAAACATTATGATATACGATGAGGATGAAGAATGAAGATGAAATTATCTTAATTTTGATATAATGAGGAATTGCGAGTGCAAGTCATGCAATATGTTGTAGAGATATACAATGTAAATATTTGAATATTGTATTAAGCTAATTGTATGTTTGAGTAAGGGATCTGTAGGGGACATATTAGGGTTGAATTTTACTATTCAAATGTGTATAAACCATGTTTGTAAGCTGAAATATATGTATTATGGTTTTGTATTGACAAACTCATACATTAAACCCCTGAGTTTTTATACAATGGAAAATTTTAAAAGATTGCATTTCTAGCCCATTGGTCTTATACCACCAACAAAATCATTATTCCCTATTGCCTATAGACATTGGGAAGACTTATATATATATATATGGTGATTTCATTCAACGGCTTCAAAAACCATGTTAGAGCCATTTGTTTGATTCAAATTTTGAAATATACACACTTTTCATATATATATATATATATATATACTTTTTATGTTCTCCCTACAATATAGAAGTTCTATCCTCCACCTTGTCCAACAGTCCATTTTTTAATGGAGGGCTAAGATTGCCCCAATCACAATGTCACGTCTCTATATTGTTTTTTTTTTTAATTGTTTTTCTATAAACTAATTTGAAACTAAATTTTGGATGTCCATTCCTCTATTAAAATCCCAATAACGAAAAATATAAAAAAGTATTTTCAATAAAATAAAATAACCAAAATACTCCTGAAAAATTCAAAGTGTATTTATTTTTTATCGAAAAATTATTGTTAATATTTTTTGTAGATGCACCCCAATGAGAAGATGGTACATACCAAATTTTATATTCAGAAAAATTTTATTAAAAAAACTAAAAATAAAATACTTTCAGATGTCGAATCTAAGATCAAATGGTGAGTGGCTTTCTTGATAAAAAATGGACAGTTGGATGGTATGGGGAGGATAGAACTTCTATGTTATAGGGGGAACATAGAAAACTTTCCCATTTCTGTATATATATATATATATATATATATAACAGTGATTTTGTTCAACGGCTTCAAAAACCTTGTTAGAGTCATTTGTTTGATTCAAATTTTGAAATATAAAGTCTTTTCATTGTAATGAACAATCACAAAAAAGAAAATTTTGAAACTGAAATTTAGAAAGTATTTTTTAAAGCCAATTAACATAAGCCGTCCATTTTGATAAGATGCTTCGATCTAGGTCTTAGAAGGATTTTTTCTTTTCCAATTTTTTTAGATGGCTTTATTAGCATTAGATGAATAATGTTAAAAAAGAAAAAAAATAATTTTCAGTTTGTAAAGGCTAAGATTTTGAAATTCACCAAATGAATGGTCTTGATTCATTGTTGGGGAGGATTCATTTTAACCATATCTATGGTTCAAATCGAATGGTTATTCAAATTGAATGGTTATTACTAAAGTATTAGACAAGCCTGAAACAAGAATGCAAATCAGATAACTGAAAGTTACATCATGGTTATTACTAGATTGCATGTACTTGCAATGCGTTTTGATATTTTCTATAGAAGAAACAATGAATATTACCCAATTTTCAAAATAAAATTAAATAATCGGTGCAAGTTATCCTCTAGGAAACTTACTGTAATATTTGAGTTTCATCTCTCAACTAAGTCCCTTATAATCTGCAAAGCACCTTACATAAATGGCAACTCCCATCCCTCACGTGACTATTTGAATTTTGTTTTGCTCATCAATCATGATCTCATAGGCTGATAAAATATCAACAAAATTTTCTTGATTAGAAGAACAGAAAATAGAGAAATAACTAAAACCAACCACCAGTAGAATAAAGACTATCATGAGAATGAGATGGAATAGTTCCTTCTCCCAGTGTACATATTCAGCAGCTGTAGAGAAAGGAAGAGACCCACTCCTCAGCACCTTAAGAGAGATGCTAAAAAGAGGTAAGCCCGTTAAAATTGCAAGAATTCATTGATCTTTTAAGCAAATAAAATATGAAATTTACATTTATAAATTTGCACTATTTGTTACGTAGGTGTTCCTTGTCCTATAAAGGCAAGACACTAACCGGACCAAATATTCAGAATCAATCAAAAAACAAACAGGGAGAGTTCTTGAGAAAGCAAATCCAGAAGAGACAAAATTGACGTAGGTTTGGAAGATTGGGTGTTCTAGATTCTCATTGGCAAAATAGTGTGGCAAGTTGAAGCATTTCCCTCGAAACTAGGTTTCTAATTTTCCAGGAGATTATGTGCCTTCACAACATAAGCATGCAAACATTTTTGACACTGCAGGTCAACGCATAGACAGCAATCAGTAAATACTCTTCTAAATTTGAGTCTGAAGTTTCAAAGAGTGACCACCGAACAAATGCAAATAAATTAGTGATCTAGGTGCCAGCTTAGTATTCGAGTGTTACCAAATCAAATGCTGCTCTTGCTATGCACTTTAGTTAATTTAGATAGATGGTTTCATTCCATCAGCATGATGACCACCTAAATCAATATTTCAATATAAGGTAAATCAGTTAATATATGCTTTAATACCCTGTAAACAGAGTTCATATCCAATTTATAGTAAGTGCATTCTGTAAATCAGTTAATAAATATACTGAAGTGTTAAGCTATACAAGAAATTTTGAATACATGTAAATAAACGACCAATATGCTTGAGAGATATTCAATCTTCCCAAGCGATGGTAGTTTGGCTATTCCTCAAGAAGCAACGGCCTCTGCTACTCCCCATTCCATTGCCAATACAAATGGGTGCGAAGTTGGAGGTGTTAAGATTCAAAATGCACAACTGCTCAAGAGAGAAGGTCTAAAATGTTCACTGGCCAGACCCAAAGCTTTCTGATAAGCAAGATGGACATGGTATGCAGTATGATTTGGGTCCAGCGCAAGTGCTCCTTTAAAGTCCTCTACTGCTAATCGCAACTTACCCTTAGCTAAATTATCTTCAACCTGAGGAAAACAAATGAACCACACTGTTAATTCCAGAACATGTATGGCAGACTTAAACTCTGCGACCAGCTCTTAGAATGCATCTAGAAAAATAATTATGAACCTTACACTTTGTCTTCATTATAAGATTTTTCAATCCAAAATATGCTTTCTTCAGTCCACTGTGTTTCGCGTCAAGACGAACACCCTTTTGGTAGCGCCTTCACAAAGAATTATTTATGCAACTATTCAAGAAAGACATTGTGGAGCGTATATCACTTCCCAGAAACCCCTAGAATGTTGCAGATGATAACAAAAAAACTTTCTACCCATTATATTTGAAAGAGTGAACTAGCTGACACATAAAGAACTTCACCAATATAAATCAGAGTCTTTCCAGTAACTTTTTCAAAGAATAAGAAATTTGTTGATGGTCATTTAAATCAAGAAATGAAGAACCAGCATGTGGTACAATCATGTTTCCCATTGTAGCCTTAGTGATCCAAAAGAATTGACCTCACAGGACAAAGATCTGATCAAGAGGAAAATTACAGACGAGTGGGAGGCTGTGAGTTGAGTTATATTGGCCCCAGCCCATTGCATTTTGTGAACCACATGTTCCCAAATGGCAGCCCGCAAAGAGCTAGCCTTAAGAACAAGTGATGCGCTAATACTCGTGTCCCATGAATGTATTCACTCTAGATACTTAGCCGGTGTCCTTGGTATTGTAATCAAACTCGACCTGGGAAAAGGCTTATGACCATGTACACTGGGACATCCTTGAAGAAACTCAATCTAGGATGGGTTTTGGTATTAGGTGGAGAACTTGGATGAGAGCGTGTTACTCTCAGCCTCACTTCTCCATCCTCATTAATGGAACGCCCAAAGGATATTTTCCTTCTACAAGAGGCATTAGACAGGGCGATCCCTTTCTCCCTTTCTCTTCGCAATTGCAGCCAAGGTATTCAGTAGGTTCATTTCCAAGATGTACTCTGCTGGACCAGGATGTACTCCGCTGGACACCTGCATGGTTTTTCCGTCGGTCCTCAGGCCCCCACAATTTCCCACCTACAATACGCAGATGACGCCTTGATATTCTACAATGCCAACCCTGAAGATTTTTGCAACTTCTTTCTGTTTCTAAGGTGCTTCTGCAATGCTAACCCCGAAGAAATTCGCAACCCCTTTCTATTTCAAAGGTGCTTCGCAACCCCAAAATGGTGGGGGTCAATGTAGACTCAACCACTCTCTTGAACTTTGCTAATAGTTGGGGCTGCGGCGTCGAAATCCTGCCATCAAAGTACCTGGGGCTTCCTCTTTGCATAGGCAAACCTAAACAAAGACTTTGGTCTCATATTGTAGACAAAGTGGATCGCAAACTTGCCGGTTGGAAAGGGCGTTTTCTCTCTCCAGGAGGAAGGTTAACTCTAATCAAAGGCACGCGCTCTTGTTAATACCCTGGTCTATCAAATGTCCATTTTCCACATGCTCGCAGCGGTCAGCTCTAGAATCGAACAGTTAATGAGAAGGTTCTTCTGGTCAAGAGATGATTCAAGTAACAAATTCCATTTGATTGCTTGGGACAAACTTTACCAGACCAAAAAAAGGGGAGGTCTAGGAATTAAGAACCTCAGAACTCAAAAATTTGGCGCTGCTAGGTGAATGGAGTTGGCCAATGTCGACATTAAGTAACCAGCAGTGGATTGACATACTTAAACAAAAATGTCGTCTCCCGACCTCTCCTTGGCCACAGAATTGCAAGTCCAACCAGAGGTCCTTCGGTACTTGGAGGTCAATCTGCTCAACATTCAATACCTTCAAATTCCACATCAGATTTCATCCGAGGGTGGGAAATCGCATCCTCTTCTGGCATGACCTTTGGCTAGGTCACACTCCTTTCAGAGACAAATTCCCTGATCTCTTCTCTCTAGCTAGAGATCAAGGGGCTACAGTAGCTCAAGAAATGCTCTCGGCTGGACCTATCTATTCGTGAAGTCCCACTTTCAGAAGGGCTATTACGGAAATAGAAATTGAAAATTTTGCCACCTTAGCGGTAGAACTTCAAGCTTGTTTCCTACCCCCCTCAGGTCATGATCATATTATTTGGTCTCCGTCACCAATGGGGACCTTCTCAGTTTTCCTCATTCTTTCGTAGTTTATCTCTTCCCCCAACCTTCCCTCTAGCTCCTACTGCTGTCGCCGCTTAGGCCTGGGCGTCCTTTGCCCCCCCTCCCAAAATCAAGATCTTCATGTGGTTGGCCCTCTCCTAGAGAGTACTCACATCCCGAGAGTGATACTTAAGACTTAAAACATATGCCAAACATAGTTGAGAATCTCGATATCAGAACAAGAGGAACCTTGTTGTATGACATACTTAAACCACGATTCTTTAACCAAGGAAACTCATACTACTAGACAAACACATTTTTATGTATAGTGGAGCTTAGATTCCTGCTAGTCAAAACATCGAACCCATTGACATGGGATCACACTCCCACAAACCCAAGGATCTTGTTACTTGTCTTGATCATTGCACAGACGCCGATCCTAACCCCAGGGAGCTTCCACTATAGGGTGGTTCGACGAATCCCGAACTGATCCCGCTACCGTCTCCAACAACTATGTTCTCAACAATGCCAACAGATGCCAATAGAGTATACAATTGGCAGCATTGTCTTTAAAAATTTGTACCACATACTCTTCCCCAACTTCATCAACAATCTAATCCAACAAGTTGAATAAGTAATTTGCATCATGTGAATGGTCCGATATATAAACAAATTTCAAGAAAAATTCTAATTGCTGCCCAAATAATTAATAATTGAGCTCGTCCTTCTATCGAAGCAAATCATCATGCATAATTGTGATGCCATACTTGTTCCACACCACTATGGGAATTCAAAATCTTTTTAATGTCCTTCACTATGTCTCTCAATAAGGGATCCCTAAGCTTCTTAGATGTAAGACCACTGTGACAAAACTGTCCAATTGCCTATTATAAACTTCAAGTTATCAACACAAATGATATTGAGTTGAACACAGGTTTGGTAAAACTGTTTGGCAATGTGCTTAAAAACATTGTTCCTTTCTTCCTTTTTTATCGATTTTTAATTGTAGCATGTACAATTACTTTTCCTTCCACAACAACCACAGGGTACTAGGTGAAAAATGCAACCAAATGCAAGCCCCTTCTAATGGGGTCACTTTTGCCCAGTACTGCCAATGTCAGTCATCCTCTGTCTCTCTTATAACTCCTACAACCAGATGCAACTTCATCATCATCTTATTTTAACAAAATATATTCAGACTTCATACAACTCTTGATGCTTCATTGCTCTCTTTTGTTTGTTTTTTTATCTTTCTTTGAATGGGGTCGCTTTTGCCCAATACTGCCAATGTCAGTCATCCTCTCCCTCTTAACTCCTACGACCAAGATGCAACTTCATCATCATCTTTATTTTCACAAAAAATATTCAGACTTCATACAACTCATATTCAGACTTTATACAACTCATATTCAGACTTCATACAACTCATATTCAGACTTTATACAACTCATATTCAGACTTCATACAACTCTTGATGCTTCATTGCTCTCTTTTGTTTGTTTTTGGATTTTTCTTCTAATTTCATCACTCGCTTTAGGCATGCATATACTAGCAAGACGTTCCATTTGCCAATAAATTCCCACGTATAAGGTTTTCCACAGTGTATAATAAACTCTATTTCGGTCTCCACAATAGGGAAGTTTCACATGTGTTTGTGTCAGATCTTTGTTACTCGAAGAATATGAAGACATTGTTCGTAAATAAGTAGTAATGAGACATACCAAGAAAATTGATTTTGGTTTCAATCTCAATCCCAAAACCGGAAGAAATTTTGATTTCTTGATTTGTTCTTCTTGCCTCTTAGTACCCTCGATGAACCGAAAAATATTTGTCCAAAATACTTTAAAAGATAGCACAAAATCAACTGGATGTTTTGCACTAAAAACCTAAAAGGTCTGTAATTTTCAAAATAAAAAGAAAATTTTCAGTTTTCAAATGACTAGAGGCCACATATGGGGCGCATCACATGGCATTATGTGCCCACATATGAGAGCTATGCACCACCTCGGCTGGCGAATCTTGCAAAATCTAGTCAGCTATACATGGTGCAGCGAAGGGCCGCACCACTTTGATGCAACCACATAGAATTATGCAGCTGCAACTGAAAATAAACGACACTCCAATATTGACATAAGTAATAATAATAAAATAAAATAAAAACTAGAATATCCTTTTTGTTATCCCAATCCAGCATCTTGTACAAACTAAAATTAAACTTCTATTTAGGTAAAAAAAAAATCACTTCAAAAGAGTTTATCAACAACACAAACATTTAACTCTGGTCATCATCTTCATGAGAAATTGAGTAGGCTGATCCAAGATGCTAGGTTACATTAACACAAAAACGACATGGCAAGCCACTCGCATCTCTTAGGAAATTGTGATTCCTTGAAATATCATTAGATCAGATTCCCACAACAAATCCTAGTAAATGTATATATCATTTGATTCTCTTGCCCTCACCACAATTGGGGGAGCTATGGAATAAAAATTTGGGTTGAACAGATAAAACAAACACAGCAGGAATCAGTCATCGGAAACATGGAAAACTATAAGTATGATACAAGAAAAATTTTGGAGACATACTAGATTCCGCCTAGGAGATGGTAAATATACAAGATGTAAACACACAAGCAAACTGGCAACATAGCTGACCTTGCCTCCAATGTTAATCCACCATTCGAGACATCCTCCAAAAGCCAAGGCATAATGGGTTGGTCCAATGAGATTTGAAAGATGAGGACCTCAATGAGGCATCCATATTGCCATCTTCTTTGCAGGAAAACACTAGCAACTAACAACGACGAGAACATAATAATTTAGAGAACCCAAATAGTGATGGTGACTTATTGTAAAATCAATCTACCTCAGCCTACTAGCATGTCCCTCATTAGCTGCAATATCAAGTGGAGCTTGGATTTGATCAGCCCCACCTAAGGCCCATGCCTTTGGTGGATAAATGAAAACAAATAAAATAAAGAATGAAGACAAAGACTAGAATGCAGAATAATATTAATACATACTAAAACTAATACAGATTACAATTTTCGAAATAAAGTACTTACATCAGATAGAAACCACACTAGCACACGCGCACAATCAGATAAAAACCACACCAGCACACTAGCACACTAATCTTCCAAACCCTATACACACTCTTACAATCTTAGAAAGAAGGACAAGAAGGTAGGGTAGAGGAGAGAAGAAAACTAAATGAGCTCTGAGGACTGAGGCCCTTCAAGGAGGGGGAGATCCTCATTTTATAGCTTTAGACTTCAAATTTCTTTAGTCTAGTTTTCTTCATTTGGGAATGTCGGTCCATCCATAATCTTCCATGTGGAAAGGTGAAGGATAATAGTTGTCGGTAGTGTCTGTGGTGCTTACCACTTGGAAAAGTAAGGAAATAGTGATAGTTGTCCCTTTTATTTCTGTCGGCAAGGTCTTAGCCGTAGGATAAAAGTTTTTCACTTTAGTAAAGAGTATTTTAGAGGACCACGTGTCCTGGAGTTTGGTGGAGTCGTACCGGCCCATTGATTAAGTGTTGGCAGGATTCCAGCACTATCATCTTCATTTTGATCTCGATCGTCGTCGCTTATTGACATGAAATCTTCCTCATCGTCAAACATGGATAGTAGCTTTTTCGAAGTTCTTCCTTTGATAATTTAGGATTTTCGGATTCTAGGAGCCTTAAGTATGAGGCAGTTCCAGCTGGTTGACCAAGTCTTGGAGTATTATTAACCTTAATCTTAATAATTTTGATGGTTTCAGGGGTCAAGTCTTTGGTATTAAAGTTGTCACACCATTTTATTTGTACATTTCTTTTAAGATGGGGAATATAGTCCCAATTTTCGTCGTTTTTAGAAATAGAATAGGTTCACCTGAGTATCCATGGGATTTCATATAAGGTGGTAAAACAGATTAATATTTCGAGTTTCGACCAGTTTCTATTGGCTGCCTGGAATTTAGACAAGGAACATTGTAATGGTTGAGGATATATATCTGGGGTAAGACCCCAATATAAAATCCATTTTTTAAACCATGAAGGAATTTCTTGAAGGGCTTCATTAAGCAGGAACATGATAAACCAGCTATGGGTATTCTGCTTTTTTTGAAGTAATAGAGTCTTTTCCCATGCTTCAATATAATCGTAATAATTGTAATAATTGTAACTCTTGATTTTAGAGTAGCTTTGTTTAAAATATCGAGGTTTAAAGGGATCAAATCCCCAGTCCTTTTAGGCCAAGACTTTCTTTATTCTAAAATTAGAATGAGCAATAATATCATGTCCCCTGTATTTCCGGATGATTTCTACTGATCATATTTCCTTTAGGTTCGTTTCGTAAAAGAGTTGTGGTTTAAACTCATCTCTTGGATGCATATGATTGACTTGATAAATTTTTACGATTTCATCTGGATTGAGATGAAGGTGAATATTATCGATTGGCATAATAGGGAGATATGATTTTTTCCAATATTCTGAATTTTCATTAGACTGTATTAAGTCTTCAGAGGTATTAGGACTATTTTCTTTAAGGTTGACCTGCCTTGAGGTCTCGTCTGGAATTTTCGTCTTATCTTTTTCCTTGGCTGCCCTGCAGGAATTCTCGTGTTAAAAAATCAAGTAGCGAGTTAGTATTTCCAGCAATATGTTGGATATCAAAATCGAAGGTGGCTAGTATGGCCTGCCATCTTGCAAATATCTGTTTTGAGACGAAGATTTTAACATCTTTTTCAATAACATCTTTGGCTGCTTTGCAGTCTGTTATGATTAAGAACTTTTGATTAAAAATATCGTCTTCGAATTTTAAAACACAACAAACAATAGAGATGATTTCTCTTTTTATTGTAGAATAATTTTTTTGAGTATCATTCCACGTTTTAGACATAAATCTTAATAACTGTTCATTTTTTGAATCAGGCATTTTTTGCTTTAGGATACCTCCAAAACCAATTTCAGATGCATCGGTTTCTATAATTTTGAAAGCTTTGGGATGTGGAATTGCAAGACATGGTAATTCTTTTGCTTTAAGTTTTATTTTACGAACAACAAAAGTATGTTCTTCCCCCCATTCTGGAGAGGTCTTTTTTCGGCGGTCATAGAGCATAGCACAGTCGTTTGCAAGATTTTTATAAAAGTCAGAAATATAATTAAGACTTCCCAGAAATCGTTGTAATTGGGTTCTATCATTGATTTCATTAGGAAAATGTTGTGCAAAACTTATTGCCTTCTCTATGGGAATGATAGAATGGTTATGGATATTGTGTCCTAAAAATCGAATTTTTGTTTGGAATAACTGGATTTTCTTTCAGGACAAAACTAGTCCTGAACTTTTAATTGCCTGCAAAAAGATTCTGAGATGTTTCCAATGTTGTTCTATTGAATCAGAATAAACTAACGCATCATCAATATAGAAAATCATAAATTGAGTGAATGGTGTAAATATATCGTTCATGATGTGTTGGAAGTCAGAGGGAGTATTCTTTAATCCAAATGGCATTACATTCTATTCATAGTGTCCAAATGGTACAGTAAATGCAGTTTTATATTTATCTTTTTTCACAATTTGAATTTGTCATAATACAGATTTCATATCAAATTTTGAAAATATTTGTGCTTCATAAAGTTGATTAAGTAAATCCCTCTTATTAGGGATTGGATATCTAATCCATTTCAAGGCTTTATTTAAAGGCTTATAATTAATAACAAGCCTTGGAACTCCTCTCTTTTTCAGAGGCTTTTTCAACATAAAAAGCTAGACAACTTCAAGGTGAATAAGAACTTCTAATTAGTTTCTTATTAAGAAGATCTTGGATTCCTTTTTTACAAATTTCTAAGAGGAGGCTATTCATTTGAATAGGCCTAGATTTGTTAGGTATGAATTTTTCATTGAAATCAGGTTCATAGGGTAATTCAACAATATGTTTTTTTCCTTCCCAAAAAGCATTTGGGATTTCAGCACAAACTTGCTTTTCAAGTTTATTTTTAAATTGTACAATTTTCTCTTGGATCAAGGGGCCGTTAACTTTTTCTTGTATTGTCTGGTTAAAATCTCTTGTTTAAGCGTATGGAGTAAAGATTCTTTATTTCTTTTTAAAACCATAAGTTGATTGATTTCTTTTAATTTTTGTTTGTCAATAAATTCAAACTTAACTTTATGACCTTGGATCTCAGATTCAATTCCTAAGGAGTCTAAAGATTTTATGGGAGAAGACTCAGAAAAGGAGTTCCTAAAATTATTTCTTGAGCTAGACCTTTAATAATAATAAATGGCATTAAGAAACAAGCTCCGTTGTTGCAAACGACAACTTCAGAAAGCTAATAATTGATTAAAAGTCTTTTGCCATTAGCAGTATTTAAGACTTGGGTGGTCTTATCGAAGAATCATGACTGGACAAGTCCTTCATTAATACAATTGAGATCCGCACTTGAATCAATGAGGGCTATGGCTGAAAAACTGTATTCTTTGGAGACAACAATTGTATCCTTGGTATGTCATTTTTGAGTAATAACTTTATTTATCATGTTAATATCATTTAGTTGTTTAAGATCAATTTTCTCAATTAGGCTAACAGTCTCATCTTGATTTTGGGCATTCTCGAATTCATTTATTAAACTCTCAAGTGATTGGAGATTTTCTAATCCAGAAGTCTCAAGAACAGTAATTCTATTGTAAAGCGCTTGTAATTCTTTTTTTAAATTTCTTATTTCAAACCTCAGCTCAGAAATAGTAGTCTCCCTTTCAGAGATTATTTGTTTTTTGTTGACCTTATCAATTATTTGTTTGAAGTCATAAGTAGGTTTAAATACTTGACTCTTTGTCTTTTCTTTAGCAAGGTATTTAACAAGAGCATCCATTTTCTCAAGGGGGTCAATAATTTTGTCAATAATATCTAAAACCAAATTTTGTTCTTCAGAGAGTACATTGAGGCTAAGACCTTGCATTTCTAATAGGGCTTAGTAATGGTCACATTTACAGTCCTCTTCAGCCTCATTACTATTAGAAGTTTCAATGTTGATTTCTAAAACTTCATCTTCTGAGTCTGTCTCATAAATGGATAATTCTTCATCAGAAGAGTCTCCTATTAGGAGAATTTGCCCTAAATGTCTCGAGTCCTTCATCAGAAATTTCATCGATTTTCTATTTTGTTTTACACCTATTTGCAAAATGTCCATAATGCCCACGTTTCTTACAAATAGGTATTTTCCCTTTTGGCTTCCTATTTCTGAGTTCAAAATCATCTTTATTTGATTTGAACATTTTTCTTTTTTGTTTTCTATAATATTTTTTGTTTTTCTTATAGTCACCTCTTTTAGAGTCACCCTTATATTTTTTGGAGTGGGTTTTTTCAGGAAAGGGGTAATAACCGAATTGTTCACAAAAGTCTCCCATTTCTCTTTTGCCAGTGATCTTTTGTTTTTCAAACTCTCTTAAGCTTGAGGTCAGTACAAAGCCGGTGGCACAAATCTCATTGTCTAGCTGGGCCTAGAGTATAATTCTCATAAGGGATTTATTTCCCTCCATTAGCATTTTTGAGCTTGGTTTTAACCTTTTCTCCGAATAGAGCTGGGAGTCCATTTAAGAATTGAGACTTCCAATGTATATCTCTGGCATCATTTCTGGTGAGTAACTGAGTATGAAAAACATCTTTGTACCATCTATAATGAGAGAGATCAGAACATTTGAGATTCTTTAAAAGTTCTCTGGTTCTTTCATTCCAGACAGAAATATCTCCTATGAAGTGTAGAGCAATGGTATAAACTAGTGTGTTGACACATTCATCATCGTGTGAAGG